CAGACTGCGAAAATAAACTGAAATATAAATAAACTGATTTTTTAAACTTAAAAGAGTTTTGCAATACTGAAATTTAAATAATTTTAGTTTTACAATACTGAAATTTAAATAATTCATACAACTACAATAATAATTTTTTTAGAAAAACAAACATCACCTTATTAATTCTATTATAAGTCTCACATAATCACATGTATTATTAGTTTTATAAGTTTTATAGAATAAAATTTATAAATGATCATTAAATTATATGATTTTTTAAACATTAAATTATATAAAGTTATATAATAATATTAAATTTTGAATTTTATTATCATATGACACAACAACATTAATTATCATTAAACTATTATTAATCAATGAATCATACATCTCTCTCTTTTTTAAACATTAATTATCATTAAACTATTATTAAATATGCAATTATGTAATACTTTTAATTTTTTTTAAATATATATTCATAATTTATTTTTATAATTATATGATATTTTTAGAAAATATTTTTAAATTTATTAAATTATTTTATGATTATTTTTTATTTAATTTTGATTATATTTTAAAATTTTAAAAACATAATTTATAATTTTTTATATTTTAAAATCTTAATTATCAAACAATGAAATCATTTTTTATTAATAAATGTGGTTTAAATACTTACATTTCGTATAAAAAGTTTAAATATAATTTAAAAATAACAAATCCAAAAAAATTATATTTAAACTTAAATCAAAATAATTAAAATAAATATAAAATTTTAATAATATATAAAATAATATGATATAAAATTAAATATCTATAATATAATATTAAAATATTAATATTTAATTTATTTAAAAATTAATATTAAAATTAATATATATAATATAATATTAAAAAATTAATATTTAATTTATTTAAAAAATAATATCTATAATATAATATTAAAAAATTAATATTTAATTTATTTAAAAATTAATATTAAAATTAATATCTATAATATAAAATTAAATATAAAACCTCTTTGAAGAGGTTAGAAGACGACTGTAGACATAAAATCACGTCTGCGCCACGCAGACTATACGCAGATGTTAGAAGAGCTTCTGTCTTCTAAAATATAAACGGTCTGCGAAGTCTAATGTCTACATGTGATCTGCGCGACACAGACATAAGAAATTTGAAGAGGTAGAACAGTGAAAACAAACACCACCTAAGTCATTTCTCAGTTCCACTCCCACCTAGTAAGGACCATTGCCCAACACCACTCGAGAAGGGACACGCAGAAACGCAAGTAGTCCTTGACTCAGCCTCAACCCTGCACAGCACATAAACCTCATCTATAACGATCCATTTACTCTGTAATTTGTTCTTTGTTGTTAATCGATCCAAGATAGTCATCTACTATACTATTTAATATTTAATTTAACATATATGTATTGAATTTAGTGGAAGAAATATAATCTTATCTACCTCAATGGTTATGCTTAGGACATTACTATATAATATAAATTAGAAAAATTCTACAACGTTCATCGAGAGCACCATTAAATTAATTTATAAAACGTGACTAAATATATAATTATAAATTAGTTAAAAATCTAAATGTAATTTAATTAAAATAAAATATTTATAAAACATTAGTTTTTAGGGTAAACTATACCATTGGCCACCTAACTATTTACCCTTTCTACTTTAACTACCGATTTTTTAATTTTATCAATCGAGTCACCTAACTATTTAAATTTTGTCAATCAAACCACCTACCGTTAAATATTAATGGAGGAGATGATGTGACAGTTAATAAAATTTATATAGTTACACATTTAGTCCTCATTACTTATACATTCTATTAATTTTGTCATAACTTTTAATTAATTCCATAAACTTAATCCTCAATTAGATGGTGAAATGTGTCACTATGTGATTGGATTTTTTTCTTAATTTTTTTTATTTAATTTAATAACATTTTACTTCCAATCAAATGGTGGCACGTGTCACCAATTGAATGATTAGAGAAAATAAATTGAATTAATAACTGCTACTGGTGGGATTTGAACCCAAGACATGAGGAGAGGAAGCAAACGCCCTAACCACTGGATTGCACCATTTAAATGAAAAATCAATCACGACATAATATATATAGTTAATGGCAATAAAAAAAGGGAAAACAACCTAATAAGAACTCCAACATGGAATAATTGAATAATACAATAATATGATATATATATATACACAAATATTATAATTGATTAATATGTAAATGTATTTTATTTATATTTTAATTATTTTAATGAAAAATAAAAAAAATTTTGATATATTATAATTGAAATATAACGAAGAGCTTCGTTGACTTAGAATTTTTCTGATAGTTAAAGGCTTATCATAGTAAGCATTTTAACTTATGCAATGACTTGTTTATATCCCAGTTAAAGTAAGAATTTTATATTTTATTATTTATTCATTATATTTTTGGAGAATATTTTAGGGAAAACTTGATTTTATTGAATTAGTCTATTTTAATATAGAGTTGTTAAATAAGATTAAAATTCGAACGACGTTATAGTATTTTAAAATATAAGGTATGATCCATTTCAGTTCAATAAAATTATAATAATGAAGATGATTTATTAATTTAAAATATGTAAAATGATATATTTCAATTATAATATATTAAACTCACTTTTATTTTAATTTTTACATTAATGTGATTTAAAATATAAATAAAACATATTCATTTATTAATAAATTATAATATTTATTTCTATATATTTTGTAGTAAAGCAGTCGGTCAAATTTTTTAGTTTGCTCACCACTTCTTTACCATTTCGTAAAGGGTCTCGTTCGATAGAGACATAATTTTATAAAGATTACTCAGTTGTCATTGTTTAAAAAAAATCATAATTATTAAATTGATACAAATGAGTCACAAAACTATATTTCTCAATGAATATTTGCAAAAATAACGTCTTAATTGTCAAAGTAATAGTTCTAATTTTATCACTATCACGAACATAGAATCAACAACTAGACTAAAGAAAAACTAAATATTTTGTTTATGAGTAGAACCGATTTTAGTGCTAAAAGAATTTTTTTTTTTTAGAAAACACGAGTTTAAACATATATATCTATAAAGTATATACGTTGTTAAGAAAAATTCTAAATAGATTATTCAAAAAAAAATCCACCCAGAATGTGGTTCCTGGTTTACTGCTAATATACTTTCAGCATATGGTGACAACTATATCATTAGGTACAAACTGTTTACGTACCACAACGGAATATGGGTGGTCGAGAAGGTGCAAGCGAAGGATGTTAGACCGCTGCCGTATGTACATGGGAAGAATTGGGCGGTCGGAGATGTAGCGGAGGTGTTCGATGTCCGGTGTTAAAGGATAGGAAAGGTGGCAAAGGTGTTAAAGAACAATGATTCAGTTGTAAATTGTAAATTAAGTTGTTTGGTTCCATCCAAGTTAAGGAGTTCCATGCATAAAGTTTAAGGGTTAGGCTGGATTGGCATGGCAACAAGTTGATGGTGTTTGGTAAGATCAATGGCCTACATTCATCATGCTTTTGCAATATATTCTCTTTTCTAAATGTTTATATAAAAGGGTCGATTTTTTTTGTGTTTATTAGAGCTCTCTTTCGATGAAGCATAGCGTAACTCGTGATGAATAGTTCGTATGAATTCAAGAGAATATCTTGTTGTTGCCTTCAGCATGGTTCTTTATGATATGAACATTATTGCTTGAAGTCTACTGATGTTTGGCAGGTGGAAGGCATTGCTACCCTCGGAGTATCATCGATATCGTTTTTTTGTTTTGAAGTTCGTTCAAGGCGTTTCTTTGTGATCGTTTTATGAGACCGGCGATTAGGTGTTTTTTTTCTGTTTGATAATGGTAATCCAAATACAATAACCAGCTATGATGTCTTAGAAGTCGATGGTTACTTCTTACATTCCTATCTGCATTATTAGTATATCTGAACCGGACTACATGTGTTTCCAGGTTGCTCAAAGTAAAGAATTGGGCAACAATTTTATACCAAAAATTCCATACCGTACAATAATGTCACCATGTGTCTGTCCATGAGAGCCAAATGCAAAATCCACGGTCATCGATATGAAGAATTCGACATCGGAGGAGCTTTAGACGAAACCTCAAGACAAGAAAATCGTCTCTTAAGAGAACACTTACCTTTGTTTAATCGGGTAGATGAATTCTCCTACCGACATGAAGGGACCCATTGAAATTCATTGATCTATCAACCAAAAGGAAGAACAGGATGGAAGACACAAGTTCCAACTGTGTATATCATTCTTCTAGGCTGGATCATCATTCCCATCTTCGCGTGGTAAAAGAAACTTACCCTTGTCCCCTGTCGACAAAGTTGTTGACATCCATGAAATAGAGCTTCGTGCTTACAAGTCAACGGTGGAGGCATTGCATGTTTCAGGAAGTATTAACATTTTGGACGAGAACACCTACTCCAGCTGAGACACCTTTTTGTCAGCTCATGTTCTGTGTTCCAATCTTGTTTGTCTCTTATGTCTTGTCATGGTGTACGGATGTAATTGGTTTCACCAGGCTCCGTAACTCAACCAATGACAGTTTTCGAGGTCTGTTAGCCGTCGGCTATGGCTACCAAGTCTCTTCTCTTGCAGGCAGCACCTTAACCTTCTTAGTTATATAGCTTTTCAGGTGTATATAACATGTAAAGTATATGGAGGAATTGGCGTTTTACATGTTAAAGCCTAGAGCCAATGACAGGATTCCATGTCTTGTTATGATCAAGGTGATTTGACTGAAGAAATGTCAAGAATTCCATTTTTTTTAATAAAGGATCAGATGTAGAAATAACATATCCATTTCTTATTGTTTTTTATTCGCTAAACTGGTTCAGTTAATTCGGCTAATATCGAAATAAGAACACAAGTAAAATCTTACCTTTCAATTTTCAGCCATCCCAAAATTATGGTATTGCACAGCGTGAAGAAGTGTCAAATGAAAGCGTGAAGAAGTGTCAAATGAATAAATTGTTAACAATTGAGAGGTGTAAACATGTATGTTATGTAAACAACACATCTTGGCAACAAACAAGGATGTTAGATTGCCTTCAAATCACAGAATCTGGCATCTGCAACTTTCTGAATCTTGAGGCCCTTCAAACCATATATCCCATGATGGGTTTATGGGGCCATTTGTTCTGTAATCAACAACAAATCCAACCATTAGAGCTTAAAAACAAAACACAAGCAACTCGATCGAAAATTCGGGTTATCGTAGTTACAATGGAAGTAGTGGATCAGGTCTGGTCTCCATGCTACGCAGCAATCTGATGGGGGAGAACACGCAAATATATCGATAAATGATGATCATTTAGAATCCGAAAACTTGTTTCTAGGTTTTCAACTTCATAGGAAAGAAAAAACTTAGTTCTTAAACTTACTCCTCACACAGAGTTGACACATTATCTGTTTTCTCAAGCAATTCCATCTCTTCCTGGAAAAAAAAATACACCAAGAGACAAAATAATAAGACATAGTACATTTCAGCGCAATAGCGACTTCTGGAACCTTATTTCTCGAAGAAAAACAAATCACAACGGTGCGAAAACCGCAAATCGATCATCTGCAAGCAGTAAAGATAGACAAAAACGGGACGAACGATCAAGCTTGTGAATCAATGACCCTATAACGCCACTAACATGCCCATTGGATGAAAGTTTAGGGAGTTCTTGGTCATCGTTTTAATACCATACATATCATAGAATGTATATGGAAATCTATTTTCTATGGAGGTCTGATGGATAATGTAGGAAAAGGAAAAAATGCCAAATAGCAGCCACCATGGAGTTTTTATGTGGTGCAAGTGCAAACAACACTGCTAAAAGCTTTTTTCTTTATGAAACTCATGGCATAGCAAGAGCTACAAGCCAAAACTAATTCAAAAAGCACTTTGGCATGATAAAGAGATTCCACCAGCACTAACAAGCACTAGATATTGTCATACTTCTTCATAATGATCATATGGGAAGCATCAAAGATTGAAGACCATTCTTCTTATGGTGTTTACGGTGCCGAAAAGACTAATTCAATGGCATTTCAGTACTGAATTTAATGGGAATGAAACAGAGAAAGTTTAGCACTTTCCCTATAGAGAGCAGGCATAACAAGCTTGATCTGGAACTTCTTTTGTCACCTATGGAGACTCCTTAAACATAACCTATTTGATTAAACTTAGAAAAACTAATCCAATCCTATCCAACCCGAATACAAAATAACCCGAATCCTATTTGATTTGACTACGAAAAACTAACCTAATCCTATTCGACTCGAATCTAAAATAACTTGAACTCAAACCAAATAATGATCTGATTGGGAAAACCCAAATCTCAAATCCAAATGATTTAAACTCAAAACAATATAAATTCAAAACGTTTCGGATTTGAAATGAACCCAAAACCAACGTGACTAGAAAAATTTATAAATTCAAATTTACCTGATTCATAGATGAACGGAATAGTTCTTGGCGGATTTGTGCAAGTACAGCGATTACAATTTTGCAAGATAAAAAGTTCAGTTTTCCATTATAACATCAAAAAATGATATATTAACCACCAAATTCTAAGATATGCTTTGAATCGTTGCACTAAGCCACCGCCGTCTTCCTCTACTCAGCCAACGAAATAATCTAACTTCACATATGGGAATTATAATTATAAATATTATTATTATTATCTTAAGAAAAATGCTTATGAAAAAGTTCGCAAAAGGAACTGCTCTTTCTTTTCCTGATATATTCTACAACTCTTCAAAATTCAAGCTAAGTCAAAGTTTTTGGAGGGCATTTTCAAATGATATAGAGCAAATCATAGCTAAAAAAATAGAAACATGAAAAGTAACTAACCTCGAGGGACTTGGATTCTTGTTCGACTCGCTTGAGTTCAGCAAGAATCCGATGTCTGCCTCTGGTGTCGGCTGCTGTTCCGGCAGCCTCTAGTTGTTCATCCGTCGACGATGCCGTTTCTGACTTCATTTTACTACGCGCTTTCCCTCCCTTGGCTGCTGGAAAGTATTGAAAATTCAATGGCTTCACTTGCTCATACCAAAAACCACGCGCTTCGTTTTCATTTCATTTCATTTCTTCTTAAGAATTCTTCATTGCATTGAAATTCAAAAGAAACCGAAGCTCTCAATCAACCTGCGGATCTGAATTTTTCCGTACAGAGCTGTGATTTTTTATTTCTCTTCTCTCCCAAAAAGCTCCGAAAACGGAAACGAGTAAACGACTTTTACTCCTTACTGTTTGTTTTCTTCGAAAGCTCTTCTTTTTCTTTTCCTTCTGATTTCGATTTCTCTGCCTCATTAAAAATTAAAGGGAAAACTTTTTATTCCGTTTTAGCACTCAAACTTTATTTTATTTAAAAATCATACCTAACGTTTATTTAAGTATCCAACGGTTAAAAAATTAAGGCTTAAATAAAAAAATAAGTCTCCAAACTGTAACGTTTTTCATGAATACGTGCCTATAGTATTTTTTGAATGATTTCGGTGACTAATGTTACAAACGTTACCAGTTTAGGTGTCCGAGCCATAAACGTCGTTAATTTCCTCCTTTAAGTGACATTTGCCACCCTCAGGTAATTTTGAATTAAAAAAATTAAAAATATTTTTTTTATAAAAAAGCCCAAAGATTTCAAAAATCTTAAAAACCTCCCCCAAACTTTGAAAACCCAAAATCTAGTCCTTATGCCCCTGCCTGTCGCCGATCTCCGCAACCGTTATTGTCGATTGGACTTCCACATGGCTGCGCCTCCATCGAAGACTTGTTCCCCAATGAATAATCACCATAACAGCAGTCGAAGATCGCTAAAATCGTGACGAAATCTACCCTGACGAACGCGACGAAACGACACCTATCGCGAAGAGAAGGCGATGTCGTTCGACTAAGAATATGGCAAGGGAGGTGTCAGAGATGGTGGTCGTGGCTGAAAAAAGAGGTAAAGTTAGGGTTAAGGCTAGAATTTAGGGATTTTAGGACTTTTTGTAATTTTAGAAAAAATATAGTTTTTAAAAATATATAATATTTCTTAATTTTAAAAAATTCAAAATTATCATAATGTGACACATGTCACTTAATGGAAAAGTTAACGACAGTAATGGCCCAGGCACCTAAAGTGGTAACGTTTGTAACGTTAGGCACAGGAATCATTCAAAAAATACTGTAAGCACCTATTCGTGAAAAGTGCTATAGTTTGGGCACATATTTTATATTTAATCCAAAAATTAACAGAATTGTTGACGTGATATCTTTTTATTTTTTCATTGATGATGTGGAATTAGCTTATGGTGACACATCAATATTATAGTTAAGTTTTTAATTAACGGTGGGATATCAAAATGAAACATAAACTAATTATTAGGTACCTATACAGAACAAAAGGAATAATGTAGGTACTAAATGTGTATTTTATCCAAAATTGTTGAAAACACTTTGATATTTTAATATACCAAAAATTGTTAAATAGTTTTTACAAATTTTAAGCTTATATTAGATTCAATCATTCGAATATATAAATTATTCTTTGAAATTAAAAGGTCAATTTTACTCCCCACTCTACTGAAAAATTGAATCATATACTGGAAATATTTTTGAATAATTTTTTCTAAGGGTTTCGAACTTTATTCGAGTCAAAAATGATTTTTAATCATAGTAATACCGATACTACTAGAACAATACCGATATTGTTCAAGAAGTATCGATACAGATATCGATGTTGAAGTCCAAAATGATGAAGTAGTACCGATACTGCTAAGGCAGTACCAATACTGTCAAAACAGAATACTACTTAGTATAGTAGTACCGATACCCTTATTGGTGGTATTGATACTACCTTTTTGGTTTTGAATCAGTCCAAATTCCAGTATACTAAAATGGTATCGATACTATGTACAATATCGATACTACTAAATATAGTAGTACTGATACCCTCTTGACAGTACCAATACTATAGTTTCCCAACGGTTAAATTTTTGTATTTAATGTAGGGAGTATCAATATTGAGAGATCGAGTACCGATACTACAAGCTTCTGGAAAACATTTAATGCGAGAAACTGCCGCCAATGGCTCTATTCACTCCCACAACAACTAAAACAGTTGGAATTGATTGAGGGAGTATAAAAACAAGATCTCAAGTCATTTGTGAAGATAAGAGACAAAAGAGATAACCATAAACAACAAATTTGAGCCAAATCAAGTCAACATTCTTCAATATTATTTTTGCTTTCAAAGAACACTTTTTGTACTCATTTGTATTAATTTCTCAAGTGTTCTTATTTGTTCTTGAATTGTGCAAACACATTCCTAGTGAGGATTTTTTTAAGTTTGCAATTTGTAATTTTCTCTTTGAGAGATTGTCTCAAGAATTTGGGGTATAATTCTTGAGGGAGTTGTAAGGTTACACCTTATCCTCAAAGGTATATACAAATTATTGAATTTGTGGAAACCCTTAGTGTGGATAGCTAAGGTAGTGGGTGTAGACTTTGGTTGATAAAGTCAAACCACTATAAATTCTTGTGTTCATTTGTTTACATTTTCTCTCAAGCTTCCACCAAATTTTTATTACCAATTCACCCCCTCTTGGCTATTTCATCCTTTTGATTGACTCAACAATTGGTATCAGATCTAGACTCGTTAGAAGGTTTAACCACCTCTTGAGAAGATCCTAAAGGATTTCAATCGTCATCCAAGTCATCCATGGCCTCTACATCAAAATTTGAAATTGTTTGTTTATCTCAACCCATCAACAATACTCCATACTTCAATGAAACCAACTTAGCCTATTGGAATAATATGATGAAACTCTTTATTCAAGCAAGTGATTTGGGAGCATAGAGCATCATAATAAAAGGTCACTCTATTCCAAATAGAGAAATGGAGATGTGGAGTGAAGATGAAAAGAGATTGTTCCAACTAAACGCAAAGACTATGTACATTCTATTTTGTGCACTTGGCCTTGATGGATATGAGAAAGTATGATCTTGTTCCAATGCCAAGGTGATATGGGATAAACTTGAAGTTACTCATGAAGGAACAAACGATGTAAGTGAAACTAAAATTAGTCTTCTCAATTATAACTACGAAAACTTCAAGGTGAGACCGGATGAAGACATTTAATCAATGATTGATCGATTTTCGATTATTTTCAATGGTCTCAAAGGCTTTGGAGAAGATATTCCTAATGAGAAGCTCGTTAAAAAGATGATCTACAATCTTCCCAGGTCATGGCAATCCAAGATGACCACAATAGTTGAAGTAAAGAATCTAAAGATTATCATCTTAGATGAGATCATTGGATCCTTGCTTAGCCATGAAATGATGGTGAAGGAAGAAGAAGATCAAGAAAATAATTATGAAGAAAAGAAGGAAATGGAAAACAAGAAAAAGATTGGTGTTGCTCTCAAATCCACCAAAGAAGAGATTGATAAGGATGAAGAAATGACAATGTTTGCCAAAAGATTCAAAAGATTCATGAAGTCCAAAAAATGAAGAAGATTCCAAAGAAAATAAGGCTTCAAGAATGAATCTTATGGGAAGGACCTCATAATTTGCTATGAGTACAAAAAGTTGGGGCATGTTAAATTTGAATGCTCACAATTAAAGAAGAATATATCCTCCAAGAAGAAACAAAAGGCACATGTTGCTACATGGAGTGATGATGACTCATCAAATGAAGAGAAGGAAGAGGTAGCCAACTTGTGTCTCATGGCCACTGAGGGAGAATCTAAGGTAACCTCTAACTCATCTACATTAAATGAATATACTTTTGATAAGTTTCAAGAGGCTTTTGATGAGTTGGCCTCATAATTTGAGATCATGCTTTCAAAACATAAGAAGAATATTTCAAAATTTAAAAATGAAAATGATCTCTTATCCAAGACCAACAATGTACTTGAAAGTAAGGTCAAATATATGCAAGTCAAACTAGAGGAGTTTGAAAATAAAAATCATGACTTGCACAACCTAGTTTCAAAGGTTAATGATGATCATCAAAAGAAACTTGATGATCTTAAAGCTTCTTTTAACAAAATTGGAACAAATCGTTTTGAAAAAGGATCAAATTCTAAATCCAACTATGTTAGAAATAACTTCAGACCATACAATCATAGAGGTTACCAAAGAACCTCAAATAGAAAAGTTAATAGAAACATATGGGTCTCTAAAGGACTCGTTACTACAAAGACAAGGATATCCTAGAAAAATGGATACCTAAGGGGACTAGATTATTGGGAACTAATGCCTATGGACCCAAAATAATTTGAGTACCAAAAATCAAAACTTAATCTATGTTTTTAGGTGAAGGAGCATTGCTACAGGGAATAAAACAAAAGTTCAAACTCATGGTACCTTGATAGTGAATGCTCAAGACACATAACCGATGATAAGAGCCGGTTCCTGGAGCTTAATGCTAAAAGTGGAAGAGTAGTAACCTCTAGTGACAACTCAAAATGTCATATTGAAGGAATTGATTCTATTGGTAACAACTCTTCCATTCTTATTGAAAATTTTTTATAATGGGTTAAAGCATAATCTTCTTAGTATTTGTCAACTATGTGATAAGGGATACAACGTCTTATTTGAGTCAAATGGTTGAGAAATTGTTAATATTACATCTAATATGATTATGCTTGTTGGTAATAGAATAGGAAATATTTACATGGTGCATCTAAATAATATTGACATGTCTAATGTATATTTAGTTGCTAAAGATGATCATGATTGTTGGTTGTGGCATAGGAAACTCGGACATGCTAGCATGAGTGTTTTACAAAAACTTGTTCAAAGAAATCTTGTAAGAGGCTTTCCAAGATAAAATTTGATATTTGATAAAATTTGTGATGCATGTGTTAAAGGAAAACACAAAATAACTTCCTTTAAACCTATTAATGATGTATCATCTAGTAGAGTATTACAATTGATCCATATAGATCTTTTTGGGCCTATTAGAACTACTAGCTTGGGTGGAAAAAATATGCATTTGTATTGGTTGATGACAACTCTAGGTTTACTCAGGTTCTTTTCTTAAGTACAATAGATGAAGCTTTAGAATATTTCATCATTTTCTCTAGAATAATCCTATTTCAAGTGTTAGGAGTGACCATGAAACCGAATTTGAAAATCTTGGGTTTGGTGATTTTTGTAATTCAAATGGAATTAGCCATAATTTTTCAGCCCCTAGAACCCCTCAACAAAATGGAGTTGTTGAGAGGAAAAATAGAACTTTACAAGAAATGGCTAGGACCATGCTTTGTGAAAACAATTTGCCAAAATATTTTTGGGCGGAAGCCACAAATTCCACTTGTTATATGA